TATTATTCCGCTACTTTTAGATCTTATATCTCGGCTGAATTTTGCGTGATGAGGAAAAACCCAACTCCTTTCGAAGAATCTTTTTGTGTTGTACGGCATTTGTGATACATATTTACATATATTTCGCGTTAAGTATAGAATATATATATTTACGCATAGTAACCCAGATATGCTGAAAGTTGTATGCGTACGCGATACATATATTATACGAATCCCACAATTTTATTTGCGACATCATATGGCATAAGAAAGAAAAAAGGAGAACATGTCCGCGATGTATGCCAACGAAATTTAAATTTCCAAATGATGAGTTCATGTTCGTGACGTGACAATTTACGAGCCTTGATCAGAGACTATCCACTTCCTCTCCAAAAAAAACGCAATTTTTCTTTTCAGAAATGTTTTGTAATTCTTGTGAGATATATATGAAGACAATTATGCGTACACAAAAAAAAGCAGTTAAATAATCATATTTAATTATCTATTTTGAATGCAAAATGTACAATTTGTCTTAGACACTAATTTCAATTGTAAAGCATGCTGATCACTCATCACAGATCTTCAAATTGATGGCATCAGGCAAGAAAATATATAATTAAAATTCTTGCAAGAAATATTGTATATTAAAATAAAAATATTTTTCAATAATACAATATTTACATTGAAAAAATACATTTGTAAAATATACCTACTGAAAACTCTTCTTTTATCTTGAAATAGAATAAATTCATATTAATCTCGATTCGACATTTGTATAGCTCGTTATATAGGTCGTTTCGTTTTCTGGTCAGACATAAATAATTCAATTTCATATATGTTAAAGTTATTTATTGATTATTGAAAGTTTTCGGTACATTTTATAAATATTTTGTCGATTGCAAATGTCGTTTTATTAAAAATTACTTTTACATTTTCATATAATTTCCTGTATATATTCTCTTCGCTTCTAACATCGCAATCCAAGATAGCTATAAAAATAAGGAGTATTAAACACATCTATTTTTCTTTTAAATTAGAATTGTTAAAATTATTCATGTAAAAATTATGCACATACATTTAATATAAAAAAATTAGGTTTAATTAACGATCACCTAGATTGGGATTAATTGAGGTTTGCAACGACGGGAAACAATGGAACTTTTGTATGACCGGTTAGGTGCAATTCTCGTTAATGTTTTCATAAATTTGCGAATCTGTGTCGCATACTAATGAGTTGTGTGAAGAATCGCACTACTATTATTAGACTAAAAATTGACGTGTCGATTCGGTACTGGGAATCTGAATCCCGATAATGATCCATAGATGGATAAGAGCTAAGTAATCATGTCCCAAATGGCAATTATTTTGTGAAATATTAGTGAGAAAACTGATGCCGTGCGAGACTTCGTTCTGTCAGTAGGTCACCAGGATCTTAGTATCGTTAGACAATCGGCGACGACGGCAAACTCCGGCTAATCCGAGAAAGTGAGAATCGGACCGTGCACGAAGTGCGGGGAATTTACGAACGGTGGCCGTAATTGAGGCCACCTTCGACCCGCGACTCCCGCGAGACGCGCGTTCGTTTTATTGAAACAAAATGAAATAAAGCCATACATGTTACGAAAATTTAATTCCAAATAAAATAAATTTGAGGATAACCATAATTACTCGATGGAATTTTTAAGTACAAATAATTGTAAGTACAAAAAATTTTTTAATACAAATAATTATACTTATTATGAAACTTGCAACCAATTATAATTATTTAAAAATTTGATTATTCGCATGCAGAATCGTACATCACACAACTCTGCGTATTGGCCATCGATTTCTAATTACAATTATATGTTAACGAGTAAAATAAATTTGTTTAAATCAAATAAGTAAAAAAGAGTCAATATGATTGAAACTTACGATTGAAACTAATAATATTCATATAAATTTTTAAATATATTTTTCAGTATATAAAAAGTGATTCTAATGTTCTTCTAATGATAAATATTAACAATTTACTATTATATTTAGTATTTACCGCATTTGTCGCGGGAGGAAGAAAAAGAAGAATCTCTTTTTCTGATATTAAGAACACAAAATTAACTTAAATCATTTTTTTATGATGTGCATTCATGATTAAAATCATAAATAATCCAATCATTTCTACTTACATTTCAACTTTGCAGTAAGCCTGGATTTTTTGACGTTGTATCCACAAGGGATTAGGGTAATCCCAACACATACTTTACACAGTACAATTACGTAGCTAATGGCGTATTAGAAGGTCGCCGAGCAATTGTAGAGATGAAACTTAAGTTTTTTCCTCTCCAGGGGATCGATTCTGTATCTTGAAAATTATAAAAGTGAGCGAATTTACTAGAATACTGATTATTTCATTGGTCAACACCTAGTAAATTTGCTTTTGTAATTTTCACCTCGTTTGAAGATACAGAATCGATCCCCAGTTTCAGCACTGCTCAAAGCGTGTTCGCATGCCTGAACTATGAAAATCAGGTGGGATTATGCTAACCTCTTGTGTGTACTGAGGGTTAATAATGATATTAATAATAAGCATCTTTAAATGTATAAATAACTTATTGCGAAAAATATCCCAGCCAAGTAAATTTATTTAAATCGACAAAAAAAAATTATGAAAACATTGCACATAATGGAATCGTAAAGTAATGAAAAATTTCGCGATAATTGTCCTAGATAATTCGCGTTCTAAGATAATGCAACAGTTTTGTCAAAATAAAATAAATAAATTTCGAAACGATATTTGTAAAAAATTATACAAATTCAATTTGAGATGTAAATATTTTATAATTCATTTTCTTTCAAGAATGTAATAGATGAGATGTTGACAGTAAATTAAAGAAACAAATCAGGATACATTGTTCAATTATTTCCAAATGATCGACGAACACTTTCGAAAGATTGATTCATATATATATTCCAGAAGCTGTTTGATTCCAAAATTTTAATTTAGCCATGTTAAATGTATTGGGTCATCTAAAAAGTATCCACGGTTTTTTGTCACTAGATGTGTGTTGATGGTCATATATCTAGTGACAAAGTACCGCGGATACTTTTTAAAACCCAATATAATACTTCATGAGCCAGTATTTCTGTATTATAATTTAGAAATAAGATTTGTACATTTTAATTGAGCACAATTATTTTTAAAATACAACTAAAATATTTTTTTCATTTATTGGAACAATTTCTTTCCAAATTTAATTTGGCAAATACGCCACTAAGATGATTCGCTGCATCGTTATTGTTTTGCCAAAATACTATATCGAAATATTGAAATTAATTGCGCAAACATCTGTTACCAATATTTTAGAAAAGATTAGAGTTTCGTATCTGTTTTTGTAAATATACCCGTATAATTGCAGATTTCAAATTTTATTTTTAATATTAATATTTTATAATATTTCGTCATATAAAGTGGATTATTATTAGAATCATAATTAGAAAAGTTTTTTACTTTGTGTAAAAATAAAATTAGTATATTAAGATTTGTATAGATGATAATTTTTTAATAGGCAAGGGTGCACAAAGATATACTATAAAAAGATAAATTTGGCTTATATGTAAATTATGAATCATAAAGTGAAAATGACAATAAAATTAATATTATGCCATCTTTGGCATACAATTATCGTGTCAATTCGTGGGAATATTTTCTATATATTTTAAAAATGATTTGTTTTTATTGCTTCACTTCTATGATACACATTAATCAAACGCACGATTATTAATTGATATTTGTTGGATACATTTCTTAGAAATTTTTCTTTTCATCAATTCTCAAAGGTTTTTGAGAATTGACTATATGATGTTGACTATATGTGAAAGATAGTGTATATATTAAAAATTTTAATCAGTATTTCATAAAGAAATAATAAGTGCTTTATTTACGCGCGTCTTCTTTTCGCTGGATCGAAAGTAACGGATGAGACTTAAAAAGTGATCCTTTAGAAGACGCGTGCTATTGAGGAGATATGCAAATAAATCGCTTTCTTACCATCGACGCATCGATACGTCGATTCACGAACTCCATTTTCACTTTTGAAATCTATACCGCGCCAGCAATCATACTTGAACATATAATATCCGCCGTCACTGTTGCGTGACGTTCTATCGTTAATTTGTCCGAGCGGAACCGGTCACCTCATGATGGTCCATTGATCATCGTCGACATTTGCATTTTCACACCCTTTTTAAAAATTTCTTCAGATCGACAAGATTAGAAAAAGAAAAATTCTCACTTACTCAAGGCCGTTGATGAAGACATCTTCGTTCGAAAGGAAGAGGGAAAAACTTATCTCGCGGAGCATCCCCCGGCGTTTGTTTGTTTACAACGTCGCGGATGGCATCTGTGACACCCAGGGCCGAACGAGAGACACGGCCGAACTATTTTAGCTAAGAATTGTCACGGAGAGTACTGCCGGCGAGTTATGCATGATGCGTCGAAAGCGGTGAGAGAAACAGAAAGAGGGAGAGAAAGAGAGAGAAAGAGAATGAGAGTGACAATTGTGGCGGGGAGAGGGCACGACACCGGCAGTAAAAAAAGAAAAGAAAGAAAAGATCAGTAAAAGGAAGCAATCACGGTTACACGGGACGGACCACGAAACGACTGTCCGTGAAAAGACCTCGACACACTTTACTCTCGACCGAGGCTCGCGACCAACCGATCGGTTCACTCTCTCCCATTCTTCCTCCTTCTTTCTCCGAAGGCGCCGGTTCCTGGTCTCAAGGGAAAGTGGTATTCCTTCTACCACCTTCTACACAGTCGATACTTCGCCTTTCGTCATTGAAGATAATCTATTCAAGAATGTACATTATGTAAGAAGTATAGTCTCATATCCGGAAATGAATTGGATCTTTGGATTCAATTTAACTGGTACTGTTGGGTCGGATTGTAAAGAAGGATCTCGCGTGTCATCGGGACGCGATCATTCGCTAAGTACGCACGTCTTTGCTTCTGGGCGCTGGAGAAAAAAAGTGTGAGCCAAACGTAGAGTCTAATAGTGTTGGCTAAATTTATTTACGCTGCTGCTGCGACAGTTGTCGCTACATCGAGTTTCTGCATTTCGCTGTATAAAGTAGTAGGCGCAGCTACTCTCAACACGTACAATTTGTCTTCTGTGATTCCGAAATCCAATATACGAATCCCGGTCCAAATACTCTGACAAAGAGAGAATACTTCTCTTTCAGAAAAAGAAAATTATGCAATACAATGGCTATACCGTGCGCTTAGTCCGCAACCTATATGATAGATGTCTTTGTTTAACCTACAGGATAAACATCTTGTACAGGTCGCGGCCTAAATGCGGTATAAACATAGCCAAAGTCCTTCATCATACATTACGTTTGTTATTATATTCTATTAAAACAAACTCGTTTAAAATAAACAGGTGCACTTATAGCCTCTACATCAATCTCGTTAAGTCGATCGTTTCTCGGATGACAATAGAGCCAACCGATGATCAACATCCGCAAAGCAAATAAATGACAATTTACAAACCGATAGGAAAATAAGTAATATTTCACCTCGTAGGGACACTTTAGTGGAATCTATTAACACATGTACAAAAATCCGCTAGATACGAATAGTTAGAATGTGTCGCAAGGTGTATGTATCATGCAAAATGGACACATGTACAAGAGAAATGATGACAAGGAGCGTATATAATTGCAAATTATGACAAGTGCTCTCCTTGGATAATATTATGCACAATATAAATTTTGTATAAAATTGACATTTTGTTCGATAAAATGTATACGTGATTTTTTTCCAATCGATCAAGCTGGTGCGGAAACGAAAAGCATTTCTGATAGTTGAAATTCTTATACTTTCAAGACCGAACGCTGCAATTCGTGCAATTAATAACTTGCAATTTGTCATAGTTTATCTGCGCTTTAGACTACTCTGTATTCTGTAGTCGCTAATCAAGGAAAATTCCGTGGTTATTTGAACGAATGTTCATGATTGCGAAATGTCGCGTAGTCCGATAATCAATATTTTCTCATGGGCATAGACGATTTGTACGCCTCGAACCGTTCGTATGACGGCGCTGTCCCAGGTGCAGCCAATCCCATAGACTGCATTGGTCCACTCTGATACGTCGGCGGAATCGGATGTCGCAGTGTATTTCCCATACTACTCGAGTTGCTCCATCTGCAATAAGCGCACGATTATTTAGTTATCGAATTACATCTAAAAATGTCTCGTCTTATCGCAATCATATTGCATATCGTAATAAAGTAACAAGATCACACGTGCTGAAAGTTACATCTATGAATCAAATAGCTTACCTGTTAACGCTATCGGATGATCTAGAACTCCAGCTGGAAGGCTCGTTGCGAGGATCGCGAGACCCACTGCTTGTCACCGAGTTAAAGGATTTTGAAGATGTAGGTCCTGAATGCCAACTTGGTGTACGATTGCTTTCCACATAACGACTTTCACCTGTATATAACAATAGCACGCAAGAATGAATGAAGACGATGCTTTTATTTTTTTATTAATTTACTACAATTAAAATATTCATCTTTCTCTATGTTTTCCGCAAGATATATAAAAATTATTAAAATGTTCACCAGCAAGAAAAAAGTTAATTATACAAATATAAATTATCTTATTCAAATATAAATTAAAATTTCATTACATTAACTCTGCGTTCGTATTACTTGGTATGCTTTATAATAAAAACTATGTTAATCGCTTGCAGGGACATGGTAGGCACGATTGATGCGTATTCGCGTCGAGTATCGCGTAGCATTTAATAGAGAAACTTTTGTACACTGCTTTCATAGAATCGTAAGACTGATAGCAGGTTCAACTAACTACAATGAAAACTCAACAAAAATCATATAAATTTTTATTATGAAGCATACACATTTATAAAAGAGAATACAGACTGGATTTGGAATGATAATGAATTTCTGTACAAGTTTAACGATAATGTATAAAAGAATACCAAACTAAAATACTTAAAAATTAGGAAACTTAAACCAGCGCTTAATTCTTAGTACAAACTTCTATAATCTGAAATTATTAGGATCAAGTAAAATCCTATTCTCAATTTCTCCTTATGTGTATATATTTATATTTACCGATATTCTTTTTACAGTATGAAATAAAATTATTTTAATTTTAATTTTAATTTTAATTTTTAAAGAAAAAATTATTTGTCTATATAATAAATTTAACATTATTTGTAATAATAAACACAAACTTTAATAAATTATATGAATTTCATAAACAAACTTAACATATATTTAGTAGAACTTCAAATCATAAAGACTAAACAATTACTATATTTAATAAAGAAATAATGATAAAAGTGTTGAATTTAAAAAAGAAATATTTATGTGTATGATCCGACATGTGTTATCAAAAATTAAAAATAAACAAATAATACCTCTATTATATATTCGATTAGCTTTAGCTAGTTTTTATAACTTAGTCATATATAATGTGTACTCGTAACTATATAAACTATTTCTATCTTTAAAAATGTTTGGCACTTAAAAAAAAAAAGATTTGTAAGATATCCCTTCCTTTTGCTCATATATTAATATTTTCTCCTTTACAAATATCATTAAACTATAAAATAATTTTATATAATAAAAAATAATGTTTATATATTGATAAAATTCATTTCCCAAAATTATTGAGGCTGTTATGTGAAAAATATATAAATTGTAAAGAAAAAACGAGATTTTCTTCACTACAATTTAATTTATTGTGTCCAATTTTTCTTACTGAAAATTAAACTTTACAATTTTTAAATCTCAAAAATTTTGTTGAGTAAAAAGCTTTTGGGCGCATATTTCAATGTTTTATATTTAATATATATATTGAAAGATATAATTTAGCTATACTATCTAATTTCACATTATTTATTGTATATCGTCCGTATATCCAAAAATTTCAAATCAAAGATACTCTAAACGAAAATAAATTTACATGTATAATATCAGGTCGTGTGTATATATTCTCTTCTTTGTCAGAAATGTTCATGAGGATGTTTTGGCTACTGTATTGCTTCCTTACTTAACGTAATGCCTATATCCTGTGTAGAAAATTAAAGAAAAACCGTCTAAAAATGGTTCAGTGTGATATCGATTATAAGAGTAGAAAAGGAGATAAAAATTCCTAGTGTCGTGTACTAAAATCACTTCTTGTACATATACGGTTTATTTCATACTTACGTGGTGTGCTAGATGTCGGAGGTTTGAAACTATCACTGTATCGCGTATGAGTGTCTCTAGAACTTCGATGCGTCTCGGGATCGGAACGTCGTACTTCGCGTTCGCGAGTATAGGACGTGGTATTCGGACGATCATATCTGTGTAAATCCAAACAAAGAATGTAATTAATTTGAAATATAATTTCATTTTCATTTTATGATTTAAGAGTACAACACGTACCTTTCCTTGACTTGTCGAGGATCCAAGGATGAGGACGTGGTAGACAAACTTTCTCGCCGTACAATGACTTCTCTTCCCCGAGAAACATCGGAAAAGCTATCTGGTCGACTGTTTCTTGAAGAAAAATCACTACTTCTCTTGAATTCTTTTTTCAATCCCAACTCTTGAGTGGATCTGAAATAAATTTCATTATTATTATTTCAATATTAATATTGAATATTGGATTGTTCGAAATACATCATAATATTTGGAAATTTCGTGATGATTTTTGATAGATTGAAATGATATATATTGCAAAGCATGATATTTAATATATTTTTAATAAAAAATTGTTTTAATATAAACTTTCATAAAATTTTAAAATGACAAATTTTAATTTTAAAACATTATTCAAGTTTACCTGCTAGATTCGTATCGAGATGGTGGCGAAGGATCCAGTCGTCTATCTGACACTCGTTCCAACATCTCATTTCGCCTATCGACAATTCTTTCCGGACTATGCCTGCGGCTATGTTCTGTAGCTAATCGTTTTCTGTCAGATTCTGCGTACAAATCCCGCGGATCTCTTCTATCGCTGGACGATCTCTTTATGGACGGTGGCGGTGGCACGCGTCGACTCTCTTCCAAACGCATCTGCTGTCTCTTCAATTCCAATCTTTCGCGCTCGAGCTTTTCCCTCTCGAGCTTTTGCCGCTCACGCTCGAGTCGTAGTAACTCGGCCTTTTCCTGTTCGATCCGTTCTCTTTCTCGTCTCAACTTCTCTCGTTCTCTCTCTAAGCGAGCAGATTCTTCTCGATGTCTACGCTCTATCTCTCGCTGACGTTCCATGTCTTCCCTTCTTCTTCGCTCTTCCTCTCTTAGCATTCGTTCTCTTTCGCGCATTCTTTGCCGCTCACGTTCTTCCTGAAAATTCAAAATTTTGTCTTTTACATGAATTCGTTCTTGTTACTGATGATCTTATTCGGAATCGAAAGCTGAAAATATTTACTCTGATTTTAGCAAATGTGAGAACGTCGTCTCGCTTCCGTCGTTCGCGGCTCCGAGATCTACTATGAGATCGGTGATCTCTCTCCCAAGTACGAATCCGTTTTTCTTCTCGCCTTCCTCTCTCACTTTCCGGCTTCTTGCTAGTAGACTTGGTCGATCGAGAATCGGACTCTTTAGACAAATCTTCCTTTTTGTCTGGCATTTCAATTTTTATTTTTAGTTCGACACTTTCATTTTTATCATCAGTTTTTTTTGCTAAACAAACATAATATATATCATTGGTTAATGTCTATGTACGTCGTTAGAAGTTAAAGACTTATAAAAATTTCCCGGCTGAAATAATACTTTTCGCAATAAATTATTTACAACTTTAAAAGATGCTTATCAACATCTATTGCTTATCAATTTAATTTATGATATTAACACCCCAATTTTGCTTACGATTACGTTTTAAGAGTAAAAATAATTTCGGCGTGTAATTTGCAGAACGGAATATGTATATAAATTTACACTAAAAATATTATTTAAGCACTAAAGATTTAGCTTAGATCGTTAAGGCTGTAGTTATTCAATTATATATTTACATTTGCGATATTAAAACGTTTCGTTTATTTATAAAAAAATAATTTTCGCCTATTAGAGTAATTATTATACTGTAATAACATTTACTAGCATCTGATCCTTTCTCTTCAGGTTCCTTCTTTATTTCCTTCTCCTTTCTTTCATTTATATCATGATCTTTTGGCTTTTCTTTCTCCTCTTTCTTCTCTGATTTACCATTAACCGTATCACGTTTACGTATATGACTTTGCTGCGTATCACCTTTGGCCTGTAAGAGAATTTATAAGTCTTGAGAATGCTACAAAAGAATTTTATTTTGACGATATTGAAATTTTAAAAATCATTTACCTTTTCCACGGAGATGACGCGCCCATGAAGCTCAGTTCTATGCAAATGCTGTATACATTTCGCAGCATCTTCGCTCGAAGACATAGTAACATAACCGTAACATCTAGCCCCTGGAGTTCTTGCATTTGTTACCACTTTTGCACCTATGACCTTGCCGTACTTCGAGAAGATCTGCTTCAAATCGGTCGCACGAGTACTGGACGATAAGCCAGATACCCATAGATTGCGACTGCTTGCATTGGTTGGATTGATCTGAGATGTCTTCTTATCTACGAAGGATATTACGCATATTATAAATAACATACAAATAAAAAAAAAATAGGCATATGTATATAATAGAACATTATAAAACATATGTTTATGTGGGATTTTATAGAATTTGCAATACCTCTTTTTGCAAAAGAAGACATGCATTCAAAAACTAAACAAAAATAAATTACGTAGGTAAAAACCTGTAAATGAGCTGACACAAAAAGTACATGTGTAAATGATTATTATTCAATACAATGATAAAAAATGAAGTAGTACACAATAGAAAAATTTGCAATAGAACAATTCGTAATAGTATAAGAAATACGCATACGTTTCGACCCTAGATTTGGGTCCTCTTCAGTACAAAGAAATAAAAAGAAAGAAAATATGGATGTTGCAAATCGCTAATGTTTTTAAAACTATAATCTTTGCGATATGTGTCCTTATTTAAATAAAAAAACCATTAAGTTGTGATATTGTCGTGAAAGTCTCTTATATGGAACGTGCATTATCTTATATCACCGATGCATTAAATTGCAAAATTTGCTGGGCATTACAATATTTTTTTGTTGTATATTTGATTTATTAAAGTTTTTTTTTTAAATAATATTAATTGGATAAAGTTAAACTTACATGGATTTTATAGGCGATACATGTCAATCGTTTGTTAGTAAGCGTGCAAATGGAAACATTTTATGATGAGAAATCAAACGACAAGTACAAAGAACAAAATAGAGTTGGAGAAAGGGAAGAAACAAGTCAAATTATGTTAGAATATAAGATATCACACAACATTCCGTAATCACGGACCATACATTGAATAGTCACATGAATTTGACTAGATAAATGCAAAGATATTAGATAAAGAAAAAAATTTTACAAAAAAAACTGATCTCTAAAATGTTACATATAAAATAACAGAATAATGGATTAAACTTAAAAAAAATGATGCAGTATTTCTTAATCTTATATATTCTAACATAATTTGACTTGTCTCTTCTCTCTCTCCAACTCTATTTTGTTCTTTGTACTTCTCATCATAAAATGTTTCCACGCTTGCTAGTGAACGATCGACATCTCTGGACATGTATCGCCTATCAAATTTATGTAAGTTTAACTTTATTCCAAAATTAATGTTATTTAAAAAAAAAACTTGAATAAATCAAATATACAACAAAAAATATTATAGTGTCCAGTAAATTTGGCAATTTAATGCATCAGTGACACGATCCGAGACTTTCATGACAATATAATTAACACAATCACAACTTAATTAATAGTTTTACTTAAATAAGGACACATATCGCAAAAATTAGTTTTAAGAGCATTAGTGATTTGCAACATCTATATTTTCTTTCTTTTTATTACCTTATACTGAAGAAGATTCAAATCTAGGCTCGAAACATATGTATATTTTTTATACTATTACGAATTGTTCTATTGCAATTTTTCTATTGTGTACTACTTCATTTTTTATCATTGTATTGAATAATAATCATTTACACACGTACTTCTTGTGTCGGCTCATTTACAGGCATTTACTACGTAATTGTATTGATTTATTCATTTGAGCCTAAATTGTTTATTAAATTATTGTAAACAAAAATAGCTTACCTTTCTCTTCTCTCTTCTGACTTTTATTGCTAGACTCCGCGCTGAAAGAGATAATATTGTCATTACGTCAGAAAATTAAAAATCATAATAGTTCTGATAAACAATTAATTAGGACTATAAATGTGATTAATAAGTATCTCTGTAACTATGTTAAGGACATAAATTTGGCTAGCAACTTATATTTAAGTAGTACGACCTAGATTTTTTGGGGGAAGGTTTCACTTGTATATCATCTCGAACACGTTATCAGTTCTATTTAGATTACTGGATCTGTATTCACTGTGTTCTCTGTTCATCCACTTTTGTCACTCATGCATAAGGAAAGCGTCCATGCGATAACACATTCAGCTCTAAGTATCCATAAAAGGATCATCTGCTGCATAGTTCTTCTGACAGGATACTTCTTGCCACAATTGGGAGTTCTTTTTAACGCTTTTCCCTCTTTTTTTTTTTAAAGTAGTAGTATCTTCAGTAAGCAATAGGATTGCTTCTTGATAGTACGAGGACTTTAGTACGCTTTGCCGAATATAATTTACCATAAGACTAATGTCCTTTGTATAGTGATGCACGATGAAATTGCTGCCATTCAATAAAACGAATGAATGTCCTCGTCGTGTAAGGAACACAGCATACAGAGCTTGTCAGTTTTTTTTTCTTGGTATAGAGTATACGTGTAATCGCTTTTATTAAATATGCGGAAGAAAATGCAAGCGACATTCGAGAGACTTTAAGTCTGCTAGCCAAGTTCTTAATTTCTTAACATAATTTCCAGAGTTAAGAATTATAGCCTAAAGGGGAGGACACAGATTGGAAGATTAACTTCCGAGATTCGATTTAAAAAAAAGGGAATTAAATATAATCTTGCATGTGACGTGAGTGATCTCATCTTGGAAATCCATTGTCCTGACGGTACAGAGAGAGAGATAGAGAGAGAGAGAGATTATTCCGATGATACAGTTATGCAGCAGTAGAACATCCCTAGCAGAGTCGTGAGCGATATATTTGCTGTACCACAGTACTGCGAACCGTACTTTTTTAGCTCTATGAGAGAGACCAACCTCTTGCTTCCTCCATCTCCACCCTCCTGCTTGATCTTCGTCCCGTTCGCACCGGACGTCGTCCCTTCCTTGCCGCCGGCACCAGGTTCCGCTCTACCGCTGCCTTTAGGGTCTCCCTTCTTGCTGTTTTCTTCCATTTTCTTCTTCTCTCCACCATCTACAGGGACAATCAAGGTAGCATAGTCACTTTCTGCGAAGCCCAGACTCTTCTCCCTCCCTCCTAACATCTGTTGCTTTTGTGACTTCCAGTCAGGAATTTTGGCCAAGTCACTAAGAAATTCACACAGCAAAACGATGTGGCTTGCACGATATTACGAGCCACTGATCTTCGATAGCATGGATTTGATCCAGAGAACCTAAAGCTTTCTCGTCGGTTTTTATCGGTTTTACACGTGCACATACACGCGTGCGCGCAAAGCTACCTTCGCATTTTTTTTCCACGAAACTTTGAATTAAAAATGAAATTAAAAAAAAAAGAAAAAGAAAAGATAACAATAAATGCGTCGCAGAGCGTGCTTATCATTTTCGTGAATTCACATTGCTCTACGTTGATAAAATGATTCCTGTGATAGATTACTATTCTCGCGCATGGAAAACGTTCAAATGTATATGCGACAACGACTCTTCGAAGAGGCACGAATGATTCGAAGATACTGGTCAAACCTCATGTCATGTGATAATTTATAGTTTGCGGCAAATATTTGCTGGTATACTTGAGTCTTCCTGTATCCATATGAATCGATGATAAGAGAAATCCAACGATGCTCTACGTGGTAGGTATAATTAATGTAATTGTATATCAAATTATAGCGTTAACTAACTTAAAGACTACGGGATATGGCTTGTTTGCTCGAACAGTAGCACGGAAATTTCGGGAGATGTACACTGTTTATCCCAGTTGTGAAAACCTTCCAAACCATCGATCAGCATGCGTTTATCCCAGTTGAAACGCCATTTCTGTCACCGGCTTGCACTTCAATGATATGCCGCATCTATCGTGGCTGCGCTATATCGAATCCAGACGTTGAAACGAGTTCACAACACTTGAAGGCCGGAACTCATAGGACGAGGAAGAAGTTGATTGCGGACGATCCCGACGTTGCCCTTGTTCCAGATGCTTGCACGAATACGTTCTTGAAGACGCTTGCTCTTGACACTAGCGCTTTCGCTAACTTACTCAGGATATCGCAGATATCAAATATCGCTAGCCTTGATATTCTGAATACTTATATCTAAATTTAAAAAATAATACATAATGGCGAACTTACCTTTGTGTCTGTCATGAGATTCTGTCTGCAATAAGAAAAACATTTGTTAGAAATGATTCTAAAAAAAATTGATATCTGTAATGAAATTAATTATATGTGAATATACATAGTCTATACACAAAAGTGATTATATTCAAAAATAATATAAAAATTAAATACTGGAACCTCTAAATTCTTTATAGTCTTAAACGCTCTAAAAATTTGTTGATAGTTATTTTATAAAAGTGTTCGGAGAGCGCACTATCAACGCTATTTGTGTCTATTATTCTTGTTTCACGTTTAATGGACGATGAAGATAGAATGACACAAATAGCGCTAATAGCGTCTCTTCGAATCCAACCAGAATCCTATAAAATCCTACGAAGGGAGTCCAATTGCAAAAAAAATTATTTCAAATGCTGTAGAGATAAAATTATAAAAAATTAAAATTCCAAATTCCTACTATTGCAAATGTAGTTAAAACCATTAGTTAATTTAATAAAAATGATTAACATTTTATTCCAAAATCAATTAGAATTCTTTCTCCAGTTATAAAATTAGTCTTTCTATTTTAATAAAAAGAGATTATATTTATCATGTCATATTATGCATGCTTTGTTAAAACAATGAATTTTTTTTAATTAAAAGAAGTCTTACTGTGATAACTTGAATAAGAAAAATTATATAAATTTTTTCACTTTCGTAAAAAAAATTTTCAAAGTAAATACAACTTTTAGGCAAAATCAAAGTAATTTCTAAAAAAAAATTTCTTTCTTTCTTTAAATCATACCTCCTCAGCTAGGAGATTCTCCTCATCTTCTCCGATAGTCAAATTGATAGAATCCTCGTTGTCAATTCCATTAGCTTCAACAGTGGCAGATGGCACGTCTGAGGTTTGATTTGAGGTAATCTTCTCCGTCTCATTTTTCTTGTCGCTATTCGGTGCATTTTCAGCCTTGACTCCTTGCATTTTGTCTTCTAATTTTTCCACCTTAATAATAATATTCTTAATTTCAAGTTCGGATTCCTGTACAAAAAAATTCAAAGTAAATTATTGATTTTAAGTGAAAAAATTAAATCCTAATTTAATTAAAATATCTCAAAAATGTGTATGCAATACCTCTTTTAATACTTCTTTCTTGATGGAACCTTCTTTCCCGATGAAAACTTCTTTCTCATCAAATTCTTCTGTCTTTACTTCCATCTTATATTTATCTATATTATCCTGTCCATCAATATTTTCTTCCTTCTGATGATCAGAGCACTCAATAGAAGAATCTTCTTGACTCAGAGCTCCTGTAATGATGAGAAAATTCAACAAATATAAAAAGTTTTTATCTTGGTTTAACACATTGGAATTCGTATACAATGTATTAACGTTTTATTAAGTACATTCTCTACAATTGTGTAAGCATAATTGTAAGTGATTATATAAATGTAAGTGATAAATGTAAGTGATTGCAGTAAAAATTGACAATCACAGTCGAATATTCTCTTTTTTTCTCTTTTTTTCTTGAATTGTGACGTTATAAACGAGAAATATGTCATGAGGACCACATTGGGTGCATTCGATGGACTCAACAGTTGAGTGAGCACTAGCTGTTATTGGTATATTTTTTTATATCATTCAATCAGAATTTTATATAACAGAATTATACATTAATAGCAGCGAGCGCTTACTCAGCTGTTGAGTCTGCTAAATGCAACCATTGATTTTTCTTGCATGCCATTTATAAATAAAGATAATTTGGATGAAAAGGAATGAGATCGCTGTAAAACACTTAAAATGGCCGAGACTATCATTATTTTTCCTGTCAGTAAATAGTCGTAAAAAATATGTAAAGTGCATTTATTAATTTATTATTTTTCCTCAATGTGTAGCCTATTTTCATTTCACGAACTATTTTTCAACTATTTACTGACTATCAGAGGGAATAAGGATAGTCTTAGTCCATTTTTGCAAGTGTTTTGCCATGATCTCATTATTCGTTACGTCATTTCTCGTTTATGATGTCACGATTTAATATGGCTCAGGAGCCTTAAAACTACAATCACTTATAACTATGTTAATTGCAGGATAGGCTGTCTACAATAGGAATAATTTATGGATCTACAATGAGAGTAAACCTGGTATTTCATGTGTCGATTGGCAAGACTTGGAATCTGTTGATTGGCTACAAGATAGAGAGGTTCTCAGGTCACTTTGTTCTATAGCCAATCAGGCTACAATCAAACAAACTTCAAAAAGTTCATTTTATGATAAATATCATAAAATATCAACCTTATATTGTGTAATAAGTAATAAATGATAAATTTCTCTTCACATTCAACTGTGATTGATCAATTTCTTATAACTCATAGTTTACTTTATTATGTATTATCTCATTGTAGATAATTTCTTAGATAATTACTACTTTCATAATGAAATATGGAAACATATATACCACCATTCCTTTTCGGAATGATTTTAGGTGGTCCACCAGATGGTACAATAAGATGTTCCTCAGGATTTCCTCCTTCATCCAGTATTGCCTATAAATAATTAAATTATTGTTCCATTTTACGTTTATAAATGCAAACCATTATTGGCATGCAAAGATTTAATTTCAAATAGAAAGAATGTATATTGTGCAAATAAATGCATCGTGTTTCAAGGTTTGTGACTTATCACTTTAACTCTTCCAAAGCCAAATTACAATAGTATGGCATAGTTTACGTAATACTCTTTTTATCAGCAACTGACATACTAATACAAACAAGAAAAAAATAATCGTTTATTTCAAGACGCTAGTATACATGTATAAACTGCCCTTCTCCCTCCCCAAGTAGCATGTTTAGGGATGCATTCCGTTTCATGCATGATGTGCATAATGCATCATTCATCCTCGTTTAACATTCGACGAATAACAAGGCGAATAAATGATGTATCATGCACATCATGCGTGAAACGGAACACAGCCTAGATTGCGCAATCGAAGTATTCAGTGTATTTTTAAACGAGCACTTTTTGTTGATAACAAGAGCATCCTTACTCGAGTTACGATAATATTAATCATATAATTAAAAATCCTTTCAATTAACGCAAATACACGATAGCAGGCACACTACTAAATCGATAAGATCGATAAACCACGCCGTTGGAATATGAACGTTCGAGCGCGAAGAATAAAAAAAAAAGAGAAAAACTGAGATATCGTTCACCTTTGAGAGCCGTTCGAGAAGCGCCGCTTTGTTACCAGATTTGTCCAGGCCACGACGTTCCAACTCTGTTTTTAGATCTATAACTCGAAGCTCCGTCAATTTTTTCCCTTCTACATCGGCCATTGTACCCACGATGATCACTCACGAGTCACAAGACGAGATACAGTGTAGGACGGACGTTGATAAGTTCGAGCTTGAGTGAAAATCACAATTTGCAAAAACCGCAAATGGATCGTATAGCTCACTACGTGTAGAGTAGAGAATTCTGGAACACGAGCAAACTATATAATACTCTTCGATACGTCGGATTACTGTATCACAATGAGAACCAAATGAGAAGCCATTTCGTCTTTCATTCACCATCGACGTCGACGATGCGACGGTGGTCGACAGTCGAATCAAATTAGATCTGTGTTCCAAAATTCACTAGCTGCGTTCGATAATGCAAATCTGAGGTGTCGGAGTGCTCTTACATTATAGCATATGTTACATGCACTATAGAAAAAGAGCACTTCGACGCTTTAGATTTGCATTGCCGAACGCAGCTAATATTAGTATCGAAAATCTAGAGTATGGTCAACGCGATGTTGCAAATGCTTTGAAGCGTTTTTTAATTGATCAGTTTGTAAAATTCTTTCTTCTAATTGCTTCAAAGCATTTCTAGCGAGACTTTGACCACAACTCTAGGCTGCGTTCAGCAGAACGTTTATTTTTTGCAACTGTGACCTAGTTTCCACCAAGGATCAGAATGTAAGAACCAATCAACTATAGTCAAGTTAGTTTACTGATCCGGTTTAAACTCTTGTGATGGAAACTAGGCCTGTGTTTTCTTTGCGCTGAATGACGTAGTTTACATCGTGCACTTGGTACGCGAATTAACTAATAACTTTCTATTAAATTATTTTAATTTCAGCAATGTATTTAAAGAATGATAAA